GAAACAGCTAAGAAGATGCATAGTGAAAAAGTAAATGCACCGAAAGACAGCCTGCAAATGGATCTGATGGCAGTGGCGATGAAGGCAGCTCTGCAGCACAAATGGGGAAAGGCAGGGAGCGACGGAAGGTTCCAGCGCCTGGAGTTTCATAGGTGAGGAAGGAATAAGTGTGTGATGTGCAAACAGGAGCGACACTGGAACAGAGAATACCCCCAGAACAAGGCCTGGGCTGTCATGGCTACTTTGGAGACTGGGGGAAGAATAGGGAACTCATAGAAAGAGTTCCACATCACCCCCACAACCCCAGGAGAGAATGAAGGTGGGAGATGAGGACATGGATTTCTTGGTGGACACTAGGGCAATCTTCTCAGTTGTGACTGTCCCAATTGGTGGCGGGGACACAACAGGGATCCTGGACGACGGGGGCACAGGGCATCAGGCCACCTGCTCAGTTGTGGGGCCCATGGAGTGCTTCCTATGAAACTAATTCTTTTTGCCTTCAAATGAGAATGCCAGGATGGGACAAAGAGCCAGCTGTGTTCAACCACCCTCTCCCAGGGGAGGAGGGAGTTCACCCATCTTTCTCAAGCACTGGCTACGGACTTGTCTGAATGGACTAGAGACTCTAATGGTGTTTTTACTGCAGTATGTGAACAATCTTTTAATTGCCGCTGAGGCCACAGCCCAGTGCACATCTGCTGGATTTCATTGGGTCACTGAGGAGAAGATGCAAACCTCACAAGAACAGGTGCAGTATTTGGGGTTTCTGACTTTCAAGGGGGGGCGGGGGTGGAACACCAGCTGCCTCAGGAGAGGAAGGAGGCAGATTGTCAAACTTCCCCAAAGCTGTAAATGCAGGCTTGGAAAACTGGCAGTCAGAGCTTTCTTGGGGCACGCATGGCTGCTCCTCAGCACCAGGGCAACTCCTGGCATGGAGGTGTGAGGGGGGGGGGGCTGGGGCTGGTTCTCTCCAGCACCAGTCCTGGCAGGCACCTCTCTCCACCCTTCTGTGACGCTGGCTAGCTGCCTGGCATCGCTCCTTCTCTGAGGCCAGGGCAGCCATGCTGGCTGCCCGGCTGTGCCTGGCTAACTGCCTGCCTGCAGTGGGTGAAGCTGCGGCCACTGGCTGGTTGCTGCCTGCGGCTTGCAATGGCACAGGGGAAGGGGGGGCTGCCGGCTTACATCAGCCGACTCGCCTGAGTCTGGACTGCCTGGAGGTCATTGATGCAGTGGACGGACCATGCCCAGGTGCCCCTCGCTACACAGCAGTGAGATCAGAGGGAGTGCCTACGTGGGGACACTGCACCCGGCTGAGGAAAGTTCCAAAACCACGCAGAGACCGAAGGACCGTGGAACCTATGGAGGACCTGAAGTTCCTGCTCAAACACCAACCCTGCAAGGGAGGACCAGTGGAATAACAGGCCAGGACGAGAAGAAGCTGACATCAGGATCAGCCAAGGGCCCGCAACTGGAGGGGGCA